TATATATATATATAAATGTAAATTCTTTTAATGAAAAGTCTTAATTATTAACAGTGTCCACAAATTGGGATGAAGAACCTTAAAGATAGGAAGATCAGTAAAACTGTTTTCCCTTGGTTTAGCCTATCAATTAAAAGAATATGACACTGCTTGAAATGACTTTTGTGTATTTCTTCAGCTTTTCTTTACAGCCACAAGAAAGGTTATAATTAGAGAGCTAGAGTCTGCTTTCTCTAAGAAGATAGCACATTACTTTTTGACTCAAGTGAGGTCTAAGTCTGGCCAGTGGTGTCCCTGTTATATTTGCTATGCATCAAAAAGATTTAAAATATCATTTGTTATACACGAAAAAAATTTATTGATAACAGCAGAAAACATTGCTAATGCAAAGAGTAGGAAGCTGGTACCACTGTGAGGTGTCCTCTGTTTCAGACCTGAGGGGTTTGTTTCTGAATTGTTCTATTAATTTGGAATGTGATTCCGTACTTATCATGGTGTACCTCTAATAAGCATTAAACTGCCTTTCAGGGGTTGCCAGGAGGTGAAGGACCCAGGGGCAGCCGTGGGTTAGATGGCTGCAATGGCTCGAGAGGAGACCCAGGATTTCCAGGGGAACACGGTTACGTGGGACCGAGGGGCCCTTACGTACGTGAGCGGCGTTCCCGCTGCCCGTGGGCACTGCACGTGGACCTTTCCCTCCCAGCTAACAGCTCTTCAGATGAAGGGAGTTTCAGGCTATGGCACTAGCTCTGCAACGCACAACAAATTTCCAGGCATTGTTACTAATGTTCATGGGAGGAAAGGACACTTGGTGCATTAACAGAATAAGTTTAAGCTTGAATGTGAGAAAAGTTCCCGTATCCTTGAAGTATACATGTCTGCCTTGAGACTTAAATTCTGCTTTGCTTCCCCAGTACGTAACTGCACCAAAGCTAATAACATTTCATGGAAGTACAACTCAGAAGGAGTAGCTTAAAACCATGACAGCATTTATCAATACTTGAAATTTCTTAAAAGCCTTAATAGTAGGGAGGTTGCCACAATGAATTAACAGTAAGTAGAAGCTTCAACAAGTCTAAGTCCTGTAACACTCAAAGATTTTTAGTGGTTGATCACACGAGTGTATTAGTATCTCTACTGTCTCTTCCAAATTCATGCTCTTAACAGTTTCACCTGCCTTTTTTTGCACATGACTGCTCTGTGCAGACTTCATCTTCCCTGGAAGTTTATCTGTGTATGTAGAGATCTTTTCAGCTGGAACATTTAAAATTAGCACTTCAATATTGTTTATTTTGCTGTTAAAATAGAAAGCATTTTAGAACTGTTTAAATGGTCATGTTAACAGTGCTTTTCTAATGAAGATAAAGCACAGATCTGTGTCAGGGATATAAATTACTGTAGCTCCAAAGAAATTCTGCTTAACAGATCTAGTCCTCAGTCTTTGACTTCTCATGGGAATAAGTTTCAGTTCTGAATTATTAATACCTGATTAGTTGGTCTAACAGCTTCCCTGGAATTTTCTAAATAAAACAGTAAAAGCAACTGCAACTTACATGAAAAGTCAAATGTGTTTAGTGGGAGCTAAATAAGATGCTGGCTGCCAGAGTGAAAAAATGTGATCAAAAACATAGCAATTAGAAAAAAAAAACATTAAATTTTAGTCTTGGACTTATAATAAATGCTATGAAGTACACAACCTGAATAAAAATCTTGATTATGACCTCATTTGGTACATCTTTTCAAGTAACCCATTAACCCAGCAAATGGTGAAATGCCTTCTGCTCAAACTGTAATTTTACCTGTATTTTCTTACTTAATTCAAAATAGAGAGTTTTTCTCTTTTTAATTAGCCAAATGACATAAAGGAAAAATGAGACATGGGACAAATTACAGCATAAATCCTCCCAATTCCAGGAGCAGGCCTAGGAAACTATTTGCCACCTACAAAGAATGGGAAACAACAGGCATGTAACCTTGGATATGTACTCTAAAATTCCAGTGAAAATTAATTTAGCTACCCAGAAGAAACAAATTTAGTTAGCATATTTGCTTGTGTACAAGAATTCTGTTCCAGCCTCTATGTACAGATTGCCTGGTTTTAAATTTTAAAATCGATTTCTAGCAACAAGTACCAACCTGACTATAGATTCCAGTTAACATTTTTATCTTATTTATAACCTTGTCCCATATAATTTTATTTAATAATATGTACATATTCATCAGCTTCACTTCTGTTATCTTGTAGGATCTGTACATTTACCTCACCAATAAATTAGAAAGTGGTTTCTATTTGTATGCCCTTACCGAAGTCTTGTAGAAGGTAAACTGAATCTATTAAAGATGGTTTATAACACAGGAGATAACAAGGAAAATAATCAAAGACAAATATAACTTTTGGTGTGTTTAATGTGTTCCCTAGCAGCTGTTTGACCTGCATCCAGTCTCCTGTAGCTATATCCAGCTGCAGACAGCTGTAACTCTTATTTTTAGAGCTTTACCATTCCAGCGATAAGTTTCCCTGTTTCATTCTGAGTTCAGGATTTGAGCTGCCACTGTATGACATCAGGAAATCAGTACAATTTGAAAGGGGTTTAATTCTATGAAAAACACTATCCCATTTGATTGAAATCAATAGTTAAGTGGTTGATGTGGTTAAAGAATACCTGGTATGTTTGAATTTCAAATGAGAAAACTTCAGAAATAGTGTCTTAATATAGCTGTTCTTCAGATATGCATGTATTATGCTCTGAACACTCAGGCATGACAATTTGATTTTGCAAAAGCAATCGTCTCTTCCTGCTAAGTCAGACTGAGGTTTTGAGGGTGCTAGGATTAGCAAAATCTTATAAAGGAGTCCACTGCAGATACCACAGTAACTCAGTTTTTAAAAATGCAGGGCATACAGAAGGCAATTTTACTTGCAAGATCTTGTTAGAGAAAAGAACTGCAAAATGCTCATGCAGTGATGGTGGTTCTGCTGAATTACCTACTCATGCATGGGCACCAGGAAGCCCAGCCTGAGAAATTACCATAAATCTCCACAGGAATGTAGGGAATCAGTAAGTGGGTCATATTTTAAAACACTTTTTTTCTTCAAAGGGAATGCCGGGTCAAAAAGGAGAAAAAGGAAATTCAGCCTATGTTTCCTATTTTGGAAAAGGACCTCCAGTAAGTAGTTGATTGTGAAAAAAATCATATCTTGTAGGAAAACATATATGGCAAATACAATTGTTCTCATAACTCCTCACTGTTTAATAAAGCTTGATGCAGGAAAAAAAAAAAATTAGAAGCAAATATACAACTGGAACAGGTAGCATGTGATCTTATTAGCTATGAATTTAGAAGATACACACAACAAAGCTTGTAATGATTCATTTGCTAAATGATTGTCATTACAGGGAGACAGAGGTGATCCTGGACCCCCTGGCATGCCTGTAAGTACAGTCAGTGGGTTCTATACATACTTTTTGTCTTGGAAGATCTTTCAACTTTTCTTTCTTAGTACAGTAAAGAAATATTGAGGTTTCTCCCTGTCTGTCTTAAATAGCAAAATTCTAGACTGAAGTGTAACAAACATTGAGTCTTGACCATTTTCCCCCATGACCAGTTCATGCTGGCCAAAACGTATCAGAAACAGACCATACCCATCTGCATTAGCTGTTCACTGAACAGTTGTCCCCTTGGTACTCACAGTTTGCAGAATATTTTCTCTGTAAAATTCAAGATGTGTAGAGATGTGACACCTTCTTCAACAGTATCTGGTGGATCTCCCAAGAACACATATCACATGACCATATTTTGGCCTTAAAAACATGTGAGAGGAAGAAAGTGTTGTTTTGTTGTTGACTCACACTCTTAATGGCTTTCACTTCTTCTTAAGCCCTTCAAAAAAATATTCACTGACAAATTGTATCCAGTTCCCACGCTGTAGCACAGCTACTGACAAAGTATTAATTCAAGGCACTGGTAACTGTGCATTGTTCAATGTCTGTACAGTATCATCCAGAAACTGGTGATGAGCTGCCTTAGTGACAGGTGTCAGGCATGGTGTAAGCTTCAAGCCATGGGTGGGATGCAGTGTCCAGCACATTAAGTCCAAGTAATGTAGGCATTTTGGAGGGACTAGTTTTGTGGAGAAAGGGGCAAGCTCTTGGTATCTTCACAAATGGACCTTTTGCCTTCTTTTCCAGGGACCTAGAGGGTCAAGAGGTGCGACGGGCCCATCTGGATACCCAGGCCAGCCCGGCTTGCCTGTAAGAGTGCCACAGTTACACAGCCTTCCATTTGCAGCACACCCCTAAATTCTGATCGAACAACTTTAGAACTCACTTTAATATGAGCCAAAGCCTACAAATAATTTTTGAGGCAGATGATGAAAAGAGATTTTTGCCTTACCTTATGAGTTTGGAAGTTCAGGAACTGGAGCATATGTTTGTCCCTCCCATGCCTGCATGACGATGTTTCATCCCAGCAGTCCGTGCCCATGGAGGAGTGCTGCAAGTGCTCACTCCTTATTCCCATTCCCCCAGGCCACTCTGTGGGGTGTGGGAAGTGAAAGAATTTAGCCCTCCTGAAAGCAGTGGCCAGGCAAAGTAGATTGCACTTTGGGATAGCTATGTCCCAAGAGGAGATTCTGTCCCTAGGCGCTACTGTCAAGAGGAGGTAATTCTCAAAGCAAAACTATCTCTAAATCAGACATATTAACTTGTCTTTATTCTCTTTTAAAGGGTATTCCAGGTTACCCTGGTTTGCCAGGTGAACAGGTAGGCAATGACTTTTCCTGAAGTTGTTAGTGAAATAAGACTAATTTATACAAATATTTCAAATGTCCCTCATGGTTATATTTTACCAAGTTTTTCAAAGGAGTTACTTGATTAAATTCTTATGTCAGCATTTTCTGATAATCTTCAAAGTGTTTTTTTTTTTTGTCAATTAGGGAAACCCAGGTATTGGAGTGGATGGACAAAAGGGGGAGCCGGTAAGAAAGCAAATACTATTACACATCTTACTCCTGTACAATTAGAAATATAATAGAGTCTTGTTGTGTTCCCTGGAATCCATTCATTTCTGGCTGTGTGCTCCCACTAAACATATCAGAATGGAACAAGATGTAGTGTAAGTTAAGATCATTAACCTTGCTTACCTGGGAAGGCAGTAGAGAGGCTTACAGATCTCAGTACAAACCTGTATTATCTACAGGTATTAGTGTGAGTACCTGCTCAACGAGCACAGAAATACCTAGGGCTGTAGCAGAACAGGAAAACGTGCCCAGTCTCACTGAAATGCTGCATGGAACACAATGTGTCTCTGCTCTTCCTTTGGCTTCCACAGGGTGACATTGGACTTCCTGGGCCACCTGGGTCACCACTGTTAGTTGGACCTCCTGGAGCTCAGCTGTTCAAAGGAGAAAAGGTGCTAATTTGTCATCATATTTAACTGTGCTCAACTTGGCAAGTACCATCCTATGATGTAATTTTTGCAAGGATGGCATAGGACAAATCTTTCTGTAATAAACTGTCAGAAATCCTGTCATTCAGCACCCTTTCAGGGGAAAGAGAGAGAGTCTGTGTGTGCTTCAGCTCATGTCCTTGAGGGAAGACTGTCTGGATGCAGAAAGGAGATGCTGCCCTGGCTTTGGTTTGCTTCCCTTTTTGTCATTAGCAAACCATTCAGGCACCTCAGGGCAAGCTGGTTACTCTGCTGGTGAATCACTTCTGCGGCTCTTCGTCAATGCTTCCGTTTTTCAGATCTTTGGCAATTATTCTCTGGAGATATTTCTCCAGTGTAACATTTTGAACTACAAACCCTGACCTTCTAGGGTTCTCTTTTAGCATGAAAATGAAGTGTGATTTTTTTGTCTATTTTTAATGCAAGTTCTTGTCATTTACCATACTTCTTCAATATTGCACCTACTGTAGCCACAGTTGTATACCTTAAAACATAAGAATATTTGTTTAAAAAGAGCAAGAGTTACAAAATTTGCATTACAGAGCCCTATATTGGAGTGGTTATGTCCTAAAGTTTGATTTGCCCAAATACACAACCGAAAAAGTGAATTTTGCATTGCCAGCCCCTGCAGCCTCAACTCAGGACTGATAGATTTTCCATATCATGTTAGGCTTCGATGATGCAAGTGGTTGCTGTGTACAAGGAAGAGGGGAAGGACCAGAAGGACTCACATGAACTTCCCACGTTTCTGCAAAGTGTGAAATAGGCTGCTGTGCAACACAATGTGATCATGACCACGTAGCCAGCCACGCATCCCATTCAGATTTAGGCTATGCACAAAAGTGTAGACTTATGCATGAGAATACTTGCATCAAACTAAACAGAGCAGCAAACAAGAAAGAACTACTGTCATATGTGTTTGAAGTAACAAAGCCCCAGTTAACATGTCCCTGTAAGTGAAAAGGTAGATCTGTCTTGCTCTGGTCATTATGCTGTTTTGATGGTGTTAACAAATACAACTCAGTACATAATTGTTTTTAATTTTTCTTCTGCCTAGTACACCTAGAGGAAAAAGCCCAGTGCTTATGAAAGTACTATTTAACAGCTGTACTTTAGAACAGGACTTAAAAAAAATGTTAAACAGCACATAAGCCTGTCCTGCATATTAATATCTACAAAACTTTCCTTGTATATGTAGGGCCAGAAAGGATTACCTGGGGTCACAGGACACAGAGGGCCACGTGGACCTAAAGTAAGTAATGTGATGATTTTTTTTTCATGGTGCTAGCAAAGTCTTTCTGTTGTTAAGTTAATCTTTCAAAGCACAAGGTGATAGAGGAAATAACAGCATTTATGCTGTGAAAGTTAATCAATGTGAAAGCAAAAATATTTCAAAACCCTTTAGAAAACTTTTCTGAGTCTGTTTTATACATACCTAGCAAATATTGCCCGGGAGGGAAAAGTCTGTGTTGTTTCCATTTAAGCTATTGACACATAACAGACCAGGACTGTGGAGAAAACAGAAGCACAGATTATTTTTTTCTCAAGAAGAGAAGCAGAAGATCTGTAGGTGTTCTTAATGGGGCATGATATATGTTTCCCTGCCTATGTTAGGGAAA